TAGGTAGATACATAAAAATTACAGACAAATTGACAAATTGAAATGAGACAGAACTTATCGACACTAAAAATTATATGAATTGCAGTTGCAAACACAGTTGTAAAAATTAGTATTTTTGGAGTCTGCTCAACTACTTTTTGATGTATCCGAGATTGCTATTGAATTATAACTTGAACTTATTGTAGCCACATTAGGGTTGTCACGTGCCAAAATCACGTAACATTTTTTTTCACTGTTGTATGAGTAATTTGAATTTCTCCTAATTGATTATAGAGTGCCCATTCCTAGACCAAACCCTTTTTAATGATTTTCTTATGTCAACATCCATAGTTCACTGATTATGGAATTTCTCACGTATTATATCTGCCATTCTCAGCGACTCAGTATTGTATTGAAATCTTTCTTCTATCTGAGAAATTTCCTCATAAAATATTGTTGGTCGCTCGTAGACAGATTTGCTTCTTCCGTCGTTCTGCCCAGTGGCAACCAGCGCGCCACCTTGTGACTTCACACGTACTAGCAGTATAGGGATATTTCGTTCTATCAAGATAAGCTTCTTCAAGGCCATTCATTTAACCTTCTTTTAATGTTTTGCTTTCCTATCAAGATACCTTCTGTTAAAATTTGATTTACTATCAAGATACCTTCTTTTAATTGCGTACCGACGCATCCAGCGCCATTTTACTCTTTGCTTTTCCGCTGTGATTTTGGTTGTGTGCGGGCGTTTTTTCATTAACGCCTCAAGCACCAGTTTATGAAGTCATACCCCTTTATCTTGTACCTTACGTTTAGTTGTGTTGGTTAGGGTACTACCCCGTCCGTTTTGTAATGGGATTTTAACCTCAAGCGGTAAGTCCTCTTTTGTATACGATCAGACTATGTCCTTTAATGCTTGTCCTGAAGAAGTTTGTTCAATATCTGATTCCTTTTAGTAGAAAGCCATTGTGGAGAACCACCATTCACACTCCTCCAGCTTTGTTTTGTAGCTGCCTTGTAGGTGTTTCGGAGCCGATTTTGTTGGAAGCCATCTCTTCCCCTTGATAAAAACCCTGATGTCAATAGGTAAAATATAATTTTAATTGAGTATTTTATAGATATTGATATATTGATTGTTCTTGATTTTGCTTGGCATTTTACGAATTCAAATATAGTGTAATGCCTACATGTCACTGTCTTTTGAGCTGATTACATTACATAAATCATGATTTTGAATTTTGAGCTGCCATAACCTATTTTATAAGGGATAGCTTTCTGAGGGTATATCGCTTTGGTAAATTTTTATATTTTCTTGCCCTTGCAGAAAGAAAAGTTGTTTTCTTGTAAAAAAGAATGAACTTGAATTTTTCTTCAAGCTTTGAGTCTTTTAAATGTGTAGTTCTGTCTCAGACATAGAGTAGAGAGTAGATTTTTAAACAATCTTTTTCTCTCTCGGTTTTTTTGACCTTAGTGTTTGTGAGCTGTGGACATCTCAGCTGTACCTAGAACTGTAACTGGAAGAAGACCATTATCCAGATAAGTTTAGGTTTAGGCCTTCAAATATTTGTAAGACCTATATTTGTAAAGCCTTCGTACGTGTATCATGGTAAACGCTTTGCTGGGTTAGTTATTACAGTCTCTCTGTATACAGTTAATTAGGTTTCATCATTAGTTTTAGATTTTTTTTTCTTTGTGTGGTGGTCAAGCAAAACGAGTTCCGACTAACATCTCGGGGATTTGTGACTAATTACGTCTTGAGTCACTGGCGCTCGTAACCCCCTCTACTCTCCGATTTATTGAGCTAGGGCCTAAATTTGCACGCCACTTGACAGCTGTTTTGCATTGGCCGACCCTTAGATTTCATCTATAGTAATTTATTTATAAAAAAAGGCGTGGCAGCTTCATCAGTGTTTTTACTGCGGTTAGCAGTATAATTATCTCTAATTTCTTCTTCTATGCTTGAATGTTGTAACTCGCTAATGATTTTTATCAACGTATTCTCTTCAACCCCTTTCTTTACTAAGTTAGAAATAGCTGATGCACGCAGTAAATGACCAGTTATTTCTACTTTTTCAGTCGCCGAACTTTACTTTTTTGCCTTCGTTGTCGTCCACTGAGTGGTCATGTTTTTTCCGGCAGAGATGTTCTCGTACCACTTGCCCACTTCCAAAAAGGATTGACACTCTAGAAAAGTCTCGGAATATTTATGTAATATCTAGTCTCTAAGAACATTCCGTACAACCTCACCGGACACAAATCCGGGTTAACTATGTTTTTAACCAGCCACTTGGAAGGAGCACAAAGTTTATCACCTCCTTGCGTTGTTTTTCCGAATATTGGATTGTATTCCAGTCTGTTAGTTTTCTCCCCCGCGTTAACAATTTCGTCTTTGAAATAGGAAGTTAAACATTTTACACCCTTTCCTCCTCGCCATGCTAATTCGTAGAAGAAAACAAAAAATAACTTTTTTGTAAGACGTTTCTTCATCACTGTTCTGTATCATGTCTTTGAACTCATCGTATTTGAGTGATACAGCGCTTTGTTTCTGGAGGTCTGTTTGTAGCTTCTTTCTTTTGGCATTTTTTTGTATTGCGGGCTGTTTTAAATTCAGTATCAGTGAAAGGATTAAATTTAATATCATGTTTATCCCGATATTTTTCCATTAACAGTTTTGAAGTTACATTCCACCCAGTGTTCATAGTAAAATCATTATTATAATAATAATCACCATTTTTCTTTTTCATGTTGTAGGCCCAGTCAGTGAGAATATCTGCCATCGTCGGTATTGTAGTGTTTGCATCTAAACAAGTTATAGCATCCATGCTTTTCTCTGTTTTGATCATTTTCTAATAATGTTCAAAACTTATACCTGGCACCGTTGCAATATTAGGTCAATGGATATATTCTATGATCTGTAAGCTTTTCATCTAGTATCCAGAACGAACCGCAGTCAGCGCTATTCTACGCTGCATCTGTTTATGCATATAAAGTCGCGTACAGACCGAAAATCCAACGTCGAGCTAACGATTGCAAGCACATGTGACGTTGGCGTTTGTTGTGGCGCTACAGACAACAAGTGCAACAAAGGCAGCAGCGGTGGCCGCAGCAGTAGACTATTCGGTCTCCTGATCAGGCGCCGTGCGCTGTGCGGGCTGGAATCCCGTCCCAAGAGAAACTTTTCTCTGGGCTATGGATGCTGTGATTGTCCGTAGGTGGTAGATGGTCTCTGACTGTCGAACAGAGAGGTACCTCCCGGCGGATCTCGTAGGCGGGGCCAGAATGTGTGCATGTTGCATGCACACGTGTTCCCTCGCCAGTGGCGTTCCCCTTTCCCATATATCCCCCTATAGCCCCATGGTACGCTATGGGTGTTTAGGCCTTCGTGGTGGTCGGAGTATAAAAAAAACCCTGTCCAGACCAAATCAAACCTCTCTTTGATGTACCGATCAAGGAGCGAACGCAATCAAACGCCAACGCCGACCTTTTAGACCGTTGGCTTATGCTGGCTCGTGCCATACACACCGATTCGAACACCTCCAAATCTGTAACCACATGTGCCTTGGCTTGCGTTTGAATCTGTACGCGGCTTAAGCGTAGAAAGCCATTGCTGATTTCCTTTGTGAACACTTAATATTTCGACTCGTTGATGGATAGACCATACTGGTACTGAACGTCAAGGAGTGAGTCATGAGTCAGAGACGTAGCGGTCTTGTCACATCTTCATCGTATGGGATAAGGATGAAAATCAGCTTGGCAAACCATTGGTAGGTGGACCATATTTGACTTATGAATTTGTCTTCACATAGTTATTTAGGTATATACTCTAACGTCGTTAAGAAAATTGCTTTATATTGTCTCACTGAGCATACAAATGAAATAATCAAAAACTTACCCCTGCGTTATTGCTACACTGCGTTGCCCAAAAAGGGAACGCAGTTATTCCACTAGTAACGCAGTTGTATTAGGTGCGTTATTGAAACCAAAATACCCATTCGAAACTTATTTGATTATAGAAAGAAGTTTGTAAACGTAATGGCTCTCACACTAGCGTCGCTGTAGGCTGTAGTTGAAGCTGGACCCCGTAAAAAATACTGAAGCTGAAAGAAAACACCTTGAAAGGTACCATGCAAAAAAAGACTTTTGAGAGATATGACTGAGCGAGAACATAGCGCTGCTAATCTTAAATGAAAGATTGCAAATAAGAAACGGTATAACGAGGCCGGAGGCTGGTGAGGCGCGACCGATCTGCATTATATAGACAAAAGATGAAATTACAGGAGGAATTGTAGAGACTGATAAAGAAAGTTAGTAAGTCCGAAAAGAGGTATCAAAGAGCTAGTAAGTCTGGCAATGATTCTAATAACAACAAGACTGCAAGACTAAACAAATATTGTATAATATGCGGACTGATGTTCACTTAATTAAGTGGCCTCAGTGGATTAGAAATTATGTGGTAATCGAAAGGTCAGGTAAGAAAGTGAAGACTACAAAAAACGTAAAGGAAATTGTCGAAGGGACTATTCCAAAATTAACAGAAAGGTTTAATCAAAGCATGATAGAATTGAAAAGACATATTTATAACATAAAGATACAGTATGAGTATAAGGGTTATAGAACTGCTATAGATAATTTGAAAGGTGGTGAAATCGTTCTGCATATCTATTTCAGCGAGAACTAAGAAATGCTTTGAAGAAGTGCAGTCCCATCATTTTGGCGGATGACGGAAGCAGGTTACATTACATACTGGAGCTATGTGCACCAAAACAGAAGGAGAAGATAAAACGACGGACACTAATTTTTTACCATCTCTGGAAATAATTGTCACACCCCCGTTTCTATTTGGAAATCCCTTCATCCATTTATTAACAACCTAAAAGCTATCCATCCTGATATAACAACAATAAATTTCTTCTTTGATGGCCCTGCTACTCAGTTCAGACAGAAAGTAAGCTTCTACTTCATATGTACGAAAATATTCAAGTGCAACTTTGTTTGCGTCACATGGAACTTTTTTCAAGCAGGCCATGGTAAAGGTGCTGCTGATAGTATTGGTGATTATCTTAAACGGATTGCAGATGAAGGTAGCCACAGGCTCAGATATTTGTGATGCAGAAAATTTTTTCCATACTTTAAAGGAATTGAGCAAGGTCCATCTGTACTTGGTGACTGATAATGACATTGAACATGTGGAAAAAACTGTCCCAAAAAATCTAATACCTCTCCAGGATACTATGCAGGTTCATCATGTTTTCACTGATACTCCAGGTGGATTAAAATATAGAGTTCTTAGTTGTTCTTGTCAAAAAGAGTTTTGCCTCTGCTTGGATCCAAAAACATATAGACCAGCTCCTACTCCCGTCTTTGGCACAATCGGCAACTTTACAGAAAAGAGTTATGTAGATGGATTCAACCAGAAAGAAGTACTGACCGGTATATGCAATGCCGCTGCTAAACCTAAAAGAAGTATAGTTTACTCCCCATCTTCTAGCTCTGATGAAGAAGTCCTTGCAAACTTATTCAGCCATCTGTTTCTAACGTGAATGAAAAACAGCTAATCAATAAGGGAAACGTTCATTCATCGAAAATGTGAGATGATGTTTACGGTATAGTTAAAGTTTCTTCCGTTAAAGACAAACATTAAACTTGCCTGGACGTGGTTAAAAGTGCTTGATGCAGAGGGAGACGTCAAAATCATGTTCTATAAGACTGTAGATTGAACTGTTAAAATGTTTAAAACAGTAAAGACTAATATTTCCTACGAACCTTATGACAACATCTTGCAAATTATTCCCAATACTAAGATGATCATGAAAGGTAAACGAGTATTCTTTCAGTTAGATGAATCATTGAATGTTTTTGAAAGATTAAACTATTCTAAGCGTGCATAACAGTTTTCAGGATGATGAATTACTTTTGATAATTTATGTTTGTGGCTATTGTAACTCATCTTAAGGAGATTTTGTAAACGTTGGTTAATTTATAAGGAAGTTGATAACTTGCAGTTATGTTATTTTATAGTGCGCTCCGTCCTTGAAAGTCCATTTTTTAGTTTATCATATCGTCACTTGAATGCAGAAGTATTCTAAGTCACAAAATGCATACTTTACAGGAGAGATATTTTTCGTGTTTGTGTCTTGCCTAACATTTCTGAGAAATTTTGGATATAGAATGCTTTACCGGAAAAAAAGTATGACTAGTCCGTGAAAGTAGACTAATTTGTAGAAGTAGAAAGTAGACAGGATTACCAGTTGTCAAAGTCCAGCCCTGGGTCGAGCTCGAGTAGCAGCTCTGTTACAAGCAGGCGAGTACAATTAAAATTAGTGAATAGTAGTCTTGGCCTTTTTCTAGTGAAAATGTCTTCTGGTCGGGCTAAATTTAACAATTAGCGATCTTAATCAAGCATGTATTTTATCTTAAGCATGATTGTAATGGCCGTTAAGTAACAGTACTAATATCAAACAAAGGACAATCATGGGCAGGTACGCTTCCGCGTTTTTTTATAATCGAGATGTAATGGTGGTGTGATTCCTCTTTCCTTTTTCTAGTAATTAATTAATAGATAAATAAAATACGATCAATGGAATCAGTCAATGCAAAACAGCTGTCTAGTGGCATGGAAATTTAGGCACTAGCTGGATAAAGCGGTGAGTAGGGGGGGGGGGGGGGGGGGGTTAAGAGCGCCAGTGACTTGAGACAGATTAAACCACAATTCCCCGAGATGTCGGACCTTGTTTTGCTTGACCACCACACAAAAGAAAAAAATCTAACAGCAATGCCAAAGTCATAATACATTTGTATTTGTTGCTGACATTGGACTTACAGTCGTTCTGTAAGTGATCATCTGCTCTTATCAAAGTTCTGCAGCGAAATGACGCGACTCAAGCTATTACGCCAAAATATCGTTCAAGACCAGTGGTGGGGGAACGCTTGCGCAGGGACTTACAATACCTCTGCATGCAATGTAGGTGACTATGACCCACAATGTCGTGTTAAAATCTGAAAAATGAAGAATTTGGACATACAATAGTTCTGCATTCAGGCGACGATATATGCTACTAGATCTATTTTATGACAATATAACGTGCTGTGGGTATGATACCACTGTGTTGCTGTAATTACTACTGTGTTACTATTTTGTCCCTAGTTTTGCATCGCATTTAGAGTATTGTATGCGTTTCTCATAAGTGAAAAATGTATTGACTCCATATGTACCTGTTGTTGACCAGTCAAAGTCAAAACTTATCTCGTTATTTTGATTTATTATACGTTTTTTTTGTTGTTATTTTATGAAAGTTTATGTTCTTAAGTACGGCATTAGTAACATGGCTGTCAAAACTATAGCTAATATTTTTTTGAACTGACTAGTTTTGTGCTATAACTCTATGGGAGGACAGTATTAGTGCTACAGCTCCAGGGTGCCAAAGTAACGAGATTAGTTGTGATGTTTTATAAATAAAATTTCAGTTTGTAGTAGAGTAACACTGTTGTATGTTTTTTACTACCAGTTCCTATATAGATTGCCAAAATTAAAAATATAAAATATTGCTGCAAATGTAGACATAGCATGGAACAAACTATTACATGCTGTATCTGCCATAAAACATGAAAAAATATCATATTGACTTTCCCAGTTTTTTTCCTAAATCACACCTGAAGCTAGGCATCGAAAAATATTTTGGCCCATTTTGCCCTATTTCAGACATACCATGTAGATCTGCTCTGTAATATGAAGGTTAGTTCATAATGCTTCTGCATTCCGAGCATTCTTCCCAAAGTCTGCCAAACATATTTTTTTCAGCGTCGAACGTATGCTGAAAAATGATCCAAATCCATAATTCCATTATCACGTTTGAAAAACATGATGATTGATCGAACCAGAGAATAGATAAAGACGGATCAGTTTCTCTAGACTATGCATTACGGTAAGATAAACATGTAGATAGCAAAATAGTCCAGGAGTCATCGGAAAATGTTCTGATTCATTTCTTTGCATTATCTTATTCGCAAATCTGCGCGTTGCCAGGCACAAAATTGTATCAAAAATTGAGGAGTCAAGTGAGTTAGTTTCATGGATAAATAAGATGCTATTCTTTCATCCAGCTCTGACTTTGGCACAAAACTTAAAATTGAGGTAAATATAAACACCGTAATCAACCCGTAGGACGATTAGGTGAATTGAGATTCTTGTAAGGATTTTTAGAGCCATTTTTGTAAACACTTTCCATAAATTGCTTTTTTTGCCCCGGACAAAGTTCTTTCCAGGTTTTTCTTTGTGATGATTCTAAGCAAACCATCTCTGTAGTTGCTGGCTTTAGGAATATAGGCGATTGAATATTTGGAAGATCAAGAAACACGTATGCCATTTTCAACTGTGAAAAATAATATGCAAAAACTAAAGTTTTAATGTTGCCAATGTCACTAAATATTTTTAATTTCTCTATTATACACATTAATTTAACGTGCTGCTTTCGTATGTCCGAGCAAGATAGTCAAACATTGGCAGCTATTTCGTACTTTTTTGGCAATATGTCAGCTTGGTCCAGGCTTGGTCTCTGGAACAAGTCACGAAAGCATATCAAATATCTTCAATCCAAGATATAAGGTCTATCTTATTTCTAAATATAAACCGTTATGAACTTATGATAACGTTGCGTGGGCAACACAGAGTCAACATATCTAGGGCGATTTTTTTAATGCGCGTGCTCATTGCATATCCTGCGTTACCGCAGACACAGGCGGCCGCTAGCCGCACTGTGTAGATGTGTGGAAATGATCGATAAAACTTTGAGTTTTGAATTGATGTTATGCTTTTCGGTTTATCAGAATATTCATGAATAAATTTAAGTGAAATTAGATAAGTACAACTAAAAATGTAGTTATGAATAAATTCAGTGAAAGTGAATTTATAAACAATTACTTGGCTATGGCAAGACGAATCCTTTTTTTGGGTTGATGTTTCCTTTTATCGTTGAATGGATCTGAATAAATTAGTAAGATACTGGTGCTCTCTTGGGAATATTTTCTTGAATAACGTAACATATGATTCCGATAATCTTTATTTACTTCTTACTGGTACGACTTAGTTAGGACTTTTTCTTCAAAATCAAGTAATAATATGAACTATAACACGGTATAGCAAGCCTTCTTACATTATATAAATAAGAGCTAAATGCCGTTTTGATTATATTGATCAAATTCTATAAACTGGTTTAAGAGTCAATTTTATAAGAACCTTCACAGTACACTAAGTTTGCATCTCTAAAGTCTATAATAACTTGTATTATTTTATTTCCCACTGCTGCAAGGATCTCTTTCGCAGGCAGCATATTAACATGCGCTTGGGATTTTGTTAATATATATTTGAAGAATACATAGGAGCTTTGGCAATATTGAAATCCTCGTTTTTTTTCATCGTATTTTTCGGGGTTGAATTTTGCGCATCTTCAAATATTAAACAGTTTATATCTTGGAAACTGCTTTGTCTTAATCGAAAAATCATCTTTTGCATTTTTTTTTAAATACTGTAAGCAAATCTTGTCGCAGTTTTTGACCTGGGCACATGCAGATTAATTAAAAGGGATCTTTTCTGAATACTGTTATGCTAATAACCGAATCAGGATACCTTTCTGGGAAGATATGGAGATACTTCCTGGACTAAAATTGGAATAAGAGATCGGAGATCAAGTTCAAGTTACCGTGTAATGCTTCTACATTAATGGCAATTATACGATCATCCTCATAAAGCAAACTTTCAAGGAACTTGTTGCGTGTAAATTAAGGAGCAGGGCATTAGTTTAGGAATCAACATGCGTTAAGTTTGGCTGAACTGTGACATTCCTGTTAGCAATCACGTTTTAGATTGGAGACAGACAACGAAAGTCTTTTTGGGTGGGTGGACCAATAATAAAGGACCGCTCAACCTAGAGCTGTCGAGTAAAAAATAAAGGTAACCAAGAGTTGCTGGAAAGTACTTTCAGCTCCCTAGAATGGCAGCTAGGTGGCGTCATTCGAAGTTAAAAGATTCATCATTTTCCAAAATTCATAACTAACGTGCACATGACGTGTTTATGCTGTTTTTTGGTTAGTTTAGGGTGGGAGAAGAGTTAAGTGTTATTTCAGAAAAAGTCACATAACTTTTGTTTGACCCTACAGACTTTGATGATCTTGGTTCCCAATAAATCAATATTGTCAAATGAGTTCAATTTGCGGTTAAATGGCGCTTTGTTGATGTGTCAGCGTTTTTTTAATTCCTTCAAAAATTTAAAAACAATAAAAATTTTCATAAGAAAGTGCATAAAAAGTACTGTGAAATGATGGGAATATATTTATTTGTTATGGAGATATTATATCGGAAAGTAGTCTTAAGTTACAACATAATATATTACAATACAATTTTAAGTACTACTGAATGAGGAACAAGATTTATGCTATAAATAGTTGTAAAATATGTGCCAGTATAAGACGATTTCAAGATATTTGACTTCAAAATTAATTTATAGGTTATTTCATAACCACGCCCCAGTTATCGCCTAATGAATGA